TGAGACCTACAGAGCTGCACCAGCTCTGCCTCCTATGTCCTGAACAAACTCTCTCCCTTCTCCCAGGAAGCACCTGGCCCCAGCAGTCAGCTCTTAGATGAGCAATGGTTCCACCCAGTCATGGACTGAAACTTCCAACACTGTGAGCTGAAATAAACCTTTTCTTTTTATAAGATGATTAGCTCAGGTATTTGTTATAGTAATGGAGAGCTGAGTGAAACAGGGCTGAGGGCTGAAATCTAATTCACACTAAATGTCTACGATGGAGAGAACAATGTAATTGCTATTTGAAAGGCTGTTATGGCTTGTGTTTAGATGTCCCCTAAAGCTTCATGCGAAGTGGCTGAGTCTAGAGTGTGTGATTGATTCATGGTGGGGCTAGGCCTGAGGGCACGAGGATTAAGGGTGTGAGTGGTCCCTACCCAAAGTAGTCTGGACAAGAAAAAAGGGAGAGAAAGACACTGTGACGGTCCTTTGCTGCTTTTGCTACTGTGTGGGCATCATGAACTGTTTCCTCTCTGTGATGCCCCCCACCAGGTCCCACCCTGCCTTGGAGGCAGCTGATTATGGGCTGAAATCTCTACAAACTGTGAGCTAAATAAACCTTTCCCCCTTTAACTTTGGGTGTTGGGTATTTTTTCTCAGCAATGAGAGAAAACCAACTAATACAGACTCCATCTGATTTCTTGGTTGAAAGGGTCCTTAGCAATCACCTCGTGTGGTTTTTGAGATTTTATAGAAGGCTTAATGAAGTCTTAAACAGTATCTCAACTTGTGAAACCACTCAGTAGACCTGTACAGTTGTTCTGGTGACAGGGTGTTGCCTGCCCTTCCAACTGACTTCTGAATCCCTCAAGGGGCATTTTGGAAACAGTAGTCATAAACCACTTATACCCTTCATTCCAAAAGAAAATTGGGAGCCAGGACTGGTGGCACACACCTGTAATCCTAGCACTCGGGAGGCTGGGGCAGGAAGATCGCTGCAAGTTGGAGACCAGCCTGGGCTACATAGTGAGAGAGTCTCAGAAAACAAAAACAACAAAAAGGAAACCGAGGCCCAGATAATGGAAGGAACTTGCCCAAGGTTACATGGCCAGATGGCAGCAGGACCTGTGCCCAGGTGGCCTGACAGCTCACCTAGTGCTCCTGTCTCGCCCTGTAAGACCTGAATGTTTACTTCATCTCAGATGCCTTCTTTGTTGCTGGCTCCTCCAAGCAGCCACCACCAGCCGGGCCATCCTGGATCCATACAGCACGTTCCTCATGGCCCCCACATGCACCCAATCCTCCTGTGCGCCTGTCATGCCTTAGGGACGGGGCCCCTCCCTGCTCTCCTTTATGCTGGAAACCACAGTCTTCCTACTGCTGTTAATTTTTTTCCCTGTTATTAATGTTTTTATGACTCAATGGCTGCTGAGAAATGGAAAAGAAACACTGCAAAGTTTGCTCATTGCATGTTTTCATTTTTAATTAAATAAGTCAAGTAAGCCATTAGGCGAAGAGTTCACATTCTATTCTGCAAAGCAGACCCTGAGCGCGGCTGGCAGCCAGCTCTCTCTGAAGGACAGCCCTGGTGTTGCCCAGAGACTGCAGATTGTGGCCACCGCAAGGATATCTGGGGACAAAGGGACTGGGGGCAGCAGGGGTGGTGCCAGAGGCAGAGTAGAATGAGCTATGCACACACACGTGGACACATACATACATGCCATGGCCTTGGATGCCAGAGAAGGGATCATGTGGCCACAAAACATGGCCCAGGGCCCAGGGTTTGTAGGACCCAGGAGGGAGCAGGGAGCCAGGCAAACTGGGCCTGGAGTATACAGAGGAGATGGAGCCTCTTGGTGTGCCCAGGCCAAGCCTGAGCTGGAGGAAGCAGGCTTCCCGGGTCATCCTGTCCCCATGAAGCATCTAGCTACAAAATGAGCCAGGCCTGAGGGTGGCGCCAGGACTGTATCCTTAGAAACATGTCATAAATTGACCTCCTATGCAGTTACAGGGTCCCCAAGGACAAGGTCAAAGGGTCTCAAAGCTCTTAAGTTGCCAATTCTGCTTCATGCTTTTGAGGTAGAGTAGCTTCCGCTATCTCTGAAACTGTGGGGAGTTGGCAGGGGATGTGGCTTCTCCCGCTGTCTGGCTAGACCATGTCCTAGGGATCTGCACAGACAAAGCCAGCACCTCTGGGCCCCGATTTCATCGCATGCTCCTCCCTTCAGTTGGTACAGAGCAATAGCCCTCTCACAAGCCCTTTCTCTCTCTGCCTCAGGGCTACCCCTGTGAGACCTCGATCCACTTAGCCTTGAGCCAGGATGAGGAGGGGATAGCCCCGGGACACAGCCATCTGCTCTTCTGCTGCTGTCCCTCAAGATCCAGTTCTCCAGGAACAGGCTCTCTAGTCAATGATAACAGCTCAGGGCTGGAAGAGGCTCTTAGGGTTTGGACCAGACCACTTCACGCCTCATCTCCACTCTCCCACCTGGCCAGGTCACCCTGTGACCTCGAGGTGCCTGCCCTCATTGGAGATATAGGAAAGGGTGCCACTGTCCCGGGCTTGACACCACCTTCTCCCTCCCAGCTCCATGCTAAAACTCCAAATGCATGACTCTGACCCCATCCGAGGAGTGGAAAGCCAGCAGTTACCCCCACCCTGCCACTGCTAAACCCCAAGGGCTCCCATGGCATCGCCGAGCCCCAGGGATGTTTCAAGGTCACACCCACCCCCTTAGCTGTCCTGTCTCAGACCCCTGGCAAAGGCAATGCAGCAGAAAGGGTCCTTGTGTCAAATCTTCAGATCAAAAGACAGAAACCAAGGGCTGCCTCAGACCATACCCCAGGGCTACTGTGCAGCTTGCTTTTGCTCTTCGTACCTTTGGAACCCTCTTTGGGTGTCCTCATTTGTATAGGTGTGAATGGTTTCGAGGATTATTATTTGTCTTTCTTGATTTGGGTACAGCTTTGAGTTCCTGCAAATGATATCGTCTGTCTCTTCACAAAATAAATAAATTAAGTCACTTGCAGTGTACACATTGGTGCAGACGGGGAGGTCCCAAAGGTCTGTTCTCAGTGCTGTCCTTGGAGAGCTGAGATGGAGACCTCGGCCCAGTGGCAGAGAGGAAACAGCTATTTGCTGTCCACCCAGGAGGGCCCCTAGGAAAAGCCCCACAGAGAAGGGCTGTCCCCTGCCCAGTCCCTCCTGCTCCCACCAGGGGACAAAGGAGAGAGGGGATGGGGGTGTTGGGATGAAGGACTGACATTCCTAGGCCTGTCAGAAACATCCTGGCCCACTTGGCCCCGTGGTCAAATTCCAGAGCTGGTGGTCCTTTGGACCCTGATTGAGAGCCAGCTCCCTGCACATCTCGCTCTCAGCCTGTGAAACCCAGGGCGGAAGGCTGCTTGCGTGACCCAAGTCCATGGTGCTGGGGCCCAGCAGCTCAAATTGGCAGGTGATAACAAGTCCCATAGGATGCCAGGGTCCTCACTTTTGCAAACAGCAGCTTCCCACCAGGACACTTGTTCCTTGCTCATTCATGGCAGCACTTTGGGGACACTTGCTGCTTGGTCATGAGGAAACGTGTCAGGGCCTGTCACATCCAGCTTCTTCTCTGGGACAGGTGAGGGCTGCTGCTCTGGCCTGCCCTGGACACTGAAAGAAGGCTGTTGGCTTCTGAGATCCATTCCACATGGGGCTCACAGGCCACCTAGGCTCGAATCCTCCTGGGGAAAGGCTCCCTTCTGTTCCTGGGCCCCTGCTAGGATCCAGGGCTCCCTGCTGCCTTCCCCAGGCACTGGCTCAGACTACTGCAGAAACAAAAGGGGAAACAGCCAGCAAACAAAAAAGACACCAAGCCATAAATAACTTGAAAAACCCCAAGTAAAACACCCAGCCCATCCTGAATTGAGCAATACTGTAGTCTTCCCAGAAACCTTCCCAGCCTAGCTGTAACCATGGGGACCGGCTGGCTGACCTCTGGCCATGTCCAGGGAGAAGCTTCTTAGGGAGATGCATTGTGATGTGACTCGTCTCTCCTGAGCACTCAGAACCTTAGCCTGGCCCCAGATGAAGCCTGGCTGAAAGAAGCAGGACCTATGAACTGTCTTTTGCCTCCAGGGAACGAGCTACTTCTGCCAGTCAGGCCCAAAGGAGCTTTCAAATATGGACAAGCTCCGGGCAAGCAGGGCAAGGGATCTGGGCTGCATCACGTGAGGCATGGCCAGACCTTCCAGGAACACCTGGCCTGCCAACCCAGGGATGTGGAGGTGTCAGAGGAGGTAGCCCTGAGAATCCAGGGCAGGCAGGGGTGTGGGCTGGGCAGTTCTTCATCCACCACTCAGCCCCAACACTAGCCAGGGAATAGTGTCCTTGCCCTTAAATGTTTCCTTCTCCTGCCCCTCCAAAATTGTGAGCATAATGAAGAAGCTTCTCTGTACGTACACATGTATGGGCTTGTGTTTTTATGACGCTCTTCAGTCTCTGTGTGGTGTGTACGTGTGTCTTTATGTACACATGTGCCCTGTAGCTCTGTACTGGGCTGGTGTTCATTGGTAACCAGCCCTGCTATTCCGTTTATTAAAATAGCAAATCAACTTGTAGTGGCTGGTAAAGAACCACTGTCACCAGATGAGCTTTAAATGTCCCCCTCCCCAGCCTGGGCTGTCCTGTTGTCCCCAAGCAGCTACCCAGATTCCCACCTTCTCCACAATCTGAAAGGGAAAGGTTAACACTGAGTACAGCAGGAGGTCTGAGCGGCTGGTCAGGGCCTAGGCCCCTTCTGGTGGTTAAGTATTTGGACTGCAGCCCACAGAGCCTCCAGGCACTGGTGTGTGTGTGTGTGTGTGTGTGTGTGTGTGTGTGAGAGAGAGAGAGAGAGAGAGAGAGAGGGAGAGAGAGAGAGAGAGA